TACAAATCGGTTTTTTCATCTCTCTTTACCAAACTCCCCCTTTGGAGAGGGATGGTGAGGGGTGTCCCCCCCCCCCCCCCGCCACACTCCTCACCATCCCTCTCCAAAGGGGGAGTTTGGTAAAGAGAGATGAAAAAACCGATTTGTACCTTCCTTAAAAGTTGTCCTAGCTCGCTTGTCTAATTACATAGCTCGCTTGTCTAATTACGCTTGTCAACTAATATACAATCTTCACACTGCCGTACTCTAACGGAACTATCAACTCTATGCTTTCATCTACTCCATCTATCGTATAAAAATTACCACTACAGTCTGTTATTTGAAATTAGCATCTTCAACTAAATTAATATTTGTTGCTAGAGTAACTTTTTGTTTAATTTCTCTTCCCTCATAAAAGTAAATGGGAAGACAACATATCAAGAAGACTGGCAACTTTGCCAGAATCCAACCGACAGATACAGTAGCGCTGCGCTTAAGCGAAGGTGGAAGCAACAAATATGAAAATGAGCAAATACACACACCTTTCTCCTGGGGTTGGAATCATCGCTATAAAATTCGATCGAAGCATTTACCTTTTAGTGGCAGATGACGCTATTGTGCCTGTCTCATAGCGGATGTATGACAAAATAGAAGAGTTACCAGTCTTCTTGATATGTTGTCTTCGGTAAAAGAAAACGAAACGAGCAGGACAATCCAAGACAGCCACGTAATCATAGTAGGCATTGATTTTCGTCATGTGTCAATTGTTTTTTTTTTGGCAGATGTATCGTGTAGAAAATCTGGAAAAATTAAAAAAATCTAACGAAGAAAATAAGAATTCGCTTGTTGCGCTTTGGAAAAGCGGCTCCGTAAAAAAAAATCACGCTGCTTTAGAAGCGATGATCGTCAAAAGATTTTTATCGGAGCTCAATAAAGGAGATAGTAAGTATCCGAAATTGTTGTATCCCGTACTCAGTAGGTGGCGAAGGTGATGTTTACAATCCTCAGGGGTGGAAAATTTGCTTGGATTTTTTTTAAATAAATTCGAAAATCAATTCTGGCAACCATGACAAATTTGTTTGGAAATTGTTTAACCGATAATGCGCATAATACAGTGAATTTTAGGAAAGTTCTGCAAACTTTAAAGACACTCCTCCAAAGAATCAGAGCAACTTTCAGAGAAGTTCATTGAACTTCAGAGAAGTTCATTGAACTTCAGGGAAGTTCTACAAACTTCAGGAAAATTATTCAAACTTTAAATATGTGTTGCGATCTTCAGAGAAGTTCTGTAAACTTCAAGAAGATCCTGCCGAATTCAGGGACCTTTTGTGAGCTTCAGGCGAGTTAATTGTCCTCCTGGTAAGTTCTACGAAGATAAGAGAGTTTTGTAAACTATAGCAACATTATGTGAATTTTAATGATGCTCTGCAAAAATTTCTTTAAACGCCAGGAAATTTTTGCAAACTTTAGGATGGTCTGTGAACCACAGGGAAATTTACTAACATTAGGAAAGTACTGTGAACTTTAAGAAATATCTGAGAAATCCAAAAAAAAATGACAAACTCTGAGACGTTCTGCGAACTTCAAAGAAGTTCAGGAAAGTTTGTAGAATTTCATCGAAGTTCAACAAAATCAAGGAAAAACTTCTGAACAGGGATTTGAATTTGAATGTAGCTTCTATAAGCTGTCTCATCGGGTCGTTGGTGGAACAACTTCCACTCCATGTTTAGAAAAACAGGTATGATAGAGAGAATTTATTGTGATATATTTTTCTCTTTTACGCTCCTCTTATGAAATGTGAGCAGGCTGCAAAGGCGTAAAAAACTAGAGTTTGCCACCTAAAACAATAGTGTGATTACGGCTCACGCATGTTACATTGCCGTTTACCGGTATAAACAATCAGTTTATGAAAATTGAGGTTCACAAATATCCAGAAGAAAGATGTTAAAAAGAAGTTCAAACCATTTTGACTGTCGAGTTGTGCGGGTGTGTAGAAATCATGTCTGACGCAGGTTTCTCCTGGGAAACGTCATACATGTAGTGAAAACCGGAAATTTCAGAATCTCTTCGAATTGGCTGACGAAATTAAGGATCACTTTGTAGGAAAAAGCATTAGAGCAGCGTTTCTTAATCTGTGGGTCACAGGCTACCCTCAGGTGGGTCGCAGAAATTCAGAAAAATGTACTGTAGAATACATCTGATTTTAAAATTATACAGGAGTAATCAATTTAAAAGCCATTTCGGCATTATACTGCCAGTTTGGAAAGTCTAGGCCATTTGACTTATTTCAAATTTTGGACCATTTTTGGGTATTTTATGGCCATTTTAACGTGTCATGATTATTATGGGAGCAGTGATTTTCAGGCTGTTGATAAGATTTGTAGACCAATTTAGCGTTTATGCTGCAATTCTATGTCGTTTTAATCTTGTTTAGCGATTGTGAGGCCTTGTTGGTGTTTTGACGTTTCTAAACCATTTTAGCGTTTTGAGGCCTTTAGTTTTGGCTTTCTTTTTTAATAATCATTCGGGTGTTAAAAGTAGAGCTTGACCCAGTTTCTTAACATCGTTATGAGCTGGTTTTTTAAACATATTGAACTTTATAAAACTCGATATGACCATCAAATTATAGAATTATCGAATTATAAAATAACAATTCCATACAAAATCGATCTTAATGTGAGTGTTAATAAGACAGTATTTACCAGCTAGTTATCTTCATAGCATTATATTTGACATAACTTTACGCTATACTTTTGTAATATTACAGACGGTAAAATTGTGTAAACGTATGAGACATACCAGCTGTTAAACTTTTCAGCCAGGCCTCAAATCAGTTATGAGGAAAGACAACGCGGCCAGGAATGATCCCAATTACGCTTCAAATTGGGTGGCTGCCGCAAATGCGACTCGGCATCCGCAATTTGGATTTGCTGGTCGCCATTGTAGGTACTTGATAAACGCCATTGCTTGATAAACGTGTATTTTTGGAAGGATGCAATTTTGATCATCAACTAAAGGTTTTTTTTTATGTCTTTATTATTGAGTTTTTTAGCCGAAGGCTGGTTAATCTCCCATCAACTAAAGGTTTTGGACAATATGAGATATTGTTTTGGTGATGAACTCATGGATGAGTGCCTAGGTCTTTTTTTGTGAAAGTTGGTCAACCGAAACCTCCGGTAGCCCCGAAATTCCATATTGTAAATAACTAATAATAGATGTTTGCAAGAGTTTCACTATTTAATTAATTTAAACATTATGAGATCATAACAAGGTAACGATATCTTACGGTACCAAAGAAGGAATCTTACTGTACCGTTGAAATGTAGTTTTTTTTTTATTTTTTTTTTTGTATTATAGTTACTTGGGTCATTCGTGACTTGTCCGGGGGTGAGATTTGAACTCGTGACTTTGGCATGAGAGGTATGGATGTTAACCATTACGCCGGGGTCACCCCCTAAGAAATGTAGTATTTTGACTACTTTAATCTCTTTTGAATCATTTTCAGCCGAATTTGTTTCGATCCGTAACAGCTTTGTTAAGTCAATAGTCCACAAACGCCTTAATAAATGGCTAAGTGTACTTCAAAACGCTTTTTCTCAAAAAAACCCAAGATGAAATATTTTAAAACCTTCACAGATTTGATTGTTAGGATCAATACTAAATTTCTGGGAAGAAAAAACTTAGGTACATGAAAGTTGCAAAAAAAGTGCTTTCAGTGGTTTATTGGAAGAAAGCGAAGGCTTAAGGAGACGAGAGAAGTAAGTGTGCTTAGATTGTTTCACTACGCGGTTTGACCTATTTCGCAACCTTGCAAAAGCAGTCCATTTGGCTGCACTGGATTTATCTGTTTTCCATTTATCATAAGCTTCAGATCGTTTTTGGAAGAGATTTTTAATGTATGGATTAATCCATGGAGCACTAGGATTAACTTGTGATATTATATTGTTCAAACCACAGCTGGACGTTGATGAGATACCTAACTCTGTAATCGAAGCCGATATGATCGCTAACACCTACTATAGAAGATTGAAAGATGTTGCTAACGTCAAAAGTGTAATTTCCAAGTTCACAATCAATAAAAGATGTACTCCAGCCTGATTTATGACAAGTGAGGGAAGAAGGTTAAATTTTAACAGAAAGTGATTTAACCTAAAATTTTAACCAGCTAAAATTTCATCGTCAAGTCGACGATGACAGGAGCACATACCATGGTAGAGGTAACCATAACTGCAATTTCCAAACCTACGACTGCATGCCTTCCTTCAGATAGCAACTTGAGTGCGGTCAAAATTGATAGACCTGTTTCAAACACATCGTCGGTACATGAGCGAGTCGGTTATCATCTCTTTTTGCCAGTTGTGGTGAGGGGGGGGGGGGGTACCCCTCACCATCCCTCTCCAACGGGGGAGTTTGGTAAAGAGAGATGATCAAACCGATTTGTACCTTCCTAAAAAGTTGTCCTTGCTCGCTTTCTACTCTCTATATACAATTTTCACACTGCCGTACTCTAACGGAACTATCAACTCTATACTTTCATCTCCTCATCTATCGTATAAAAAATTACCACTTTAATCTGTTATTTGAAATTAGCATCTTCAACTACATATCGATTAGTTTGTTTGTAACATGTGATGAAGTGTCACATAAACTTATATTGAAATCACCCATCAATACGAAATGAGATTCAGTAGCACTGATTTCAAGGGCAAGCTCAAAAATACTGTTTAGTTTAGAAACTTTTACGCCTGGAGGCCTATAGACAATGCCACACGCAAGCTTTATATGGCCTTACAACAGGTTATATGATTGGAAAATGCTTTTAAGTTTGATGGAAATTATCCTTAAATTATGCGGCTCCAGAAAAAATCCCACAGACCATGAAAAATAACAAAGCTATTCACAAAAAGCATAAGTTATTCAAAACTGTTCATAATGAGATGAATTTTTTTGCAGCAATTCCCGCTATTATATTAATTTCTTTGCACCTAATAACAAGAAAAGGGGTAGAATAAAATACTTACCATCTTTAACACTTGTTGCCAGTTGAACCAGAACTGCCAGCAACAGGCAGACCACCTGCCCGGGAAACTCGTTGAAATTCACCATTCTGCTACCTTTTCTCCGAAGCGTTCGTTGTCTTTGATAGGTCGGGACTTTTGTCCGACGTTTCGAAATGGTTATTCGTTCGCAACTTTTGTTCACTCGACGGTCGGACGAGCTCGCCAGATGTTGCATTAGCTGCTGTGACCTACCGTGCTGGTGAAATCTCGAAACTTTTCCGCTCCTGAGACCGATAGATTACCATAATCAACTTTGCTCTTCTTCCTTCCACATCGAAGCACAAAACTCAACACCATAAACCCAATGCCCAAACGTCACTCTCACTAGGTGTAATATTTCAAAACTTTTTTTCACACACTTTCGATATCTAGTCTAAGCTTGCATTAGCCCGTTGCGAAAAAAAAACAGTATTCACCCGCCTGTTACACTTTTCCTCTGTTTTACAACAGGTGATTAAACTTTCACCCTCTTTATGCTTTTTTGCATCAAAATTTACGTCTATTTCAACACTGTAGCAACTTTTCCCATTCTGGTACTCGTTTTTGTTTTCTTGACTTTACTTTGCCTTCTTTCTTGCTCTCAGTCGCGCTTCGGGTAAAGTGGATTATATTATTATAAATTATTCCAATAATACCATCACTTGCAAATTTGCGCTTGGATTTTGTTTTCACCTCTTCTTGTCTTGTGTATGTTTTTTCCTTCTTTTTATCCCACCTCTGTCGAAGGGTCCTTCCACGTGGGACCGATATCCACTCGACGGCAGGGATGGTTCAAATGTTGCTGATACTGCTGCCGCCCGTTGCCGAGTTCGACTTACGACGGGCGTCATTTGCATCTCCCTCTCCAGGGAGATCCGTGGGTATAGACCCGGTACGTGACTCCAACGGGAAAGTTTTCCATAATACGTAACACCTGTAAATTGATAAACAAGAGTAAAGAAGAGTGAGAAAGTTGCTCCTAGGTGTTATTGCTGCTGAAAAAATTGGCTTTTTAACCCGTGTCTCCTCCGAGGGGGTTCCACAGTTTGCAAGTTCCGAAAAAACGTAGATCCGAACGAAGTTGAATTTTTCGGATGACTGGACGGTTAGAGCTCGGTGGTCCTTGTGACTCGTTTGGGAATTTCACGGCAAATGGCTTATGGCTACCGGTGATGGAAATCGGAAAGCTGAGAAAAGCCACTAGAGGAAGGACATCCAAACGGGAAAAGGTTTCGTAATGATGGAATATTTGCATATCGGGTCTTTTCAATAACAGCTTTAATCGATTTCAGGGTCTTGGCTGAATGTGCTTTTATCGCTGGATGAATTAGTGTGAATTGAATGTATAGGATAGAGCTGTCGCATTTTGCATTGGAATAAGATAAAGTATTTTTTTACTAAACTGTGTTGGTGTTCCAATGATGGAAAGACAATATGCACCCCTGGAATCCTGTTTGCTATGTACAGTCAGGAATCCTTATTGCCCAGTAAACGGGGGCGTGAATAAAGAACCGCGAATAAGGATAGCCACAGCTTATAGTAATTTCAATGTGGTGGATTAACCCTGACCATATAGATGGTTGAACTTCTCGTACATTATGTACACACTTAATCTTATATTTTTATGTCGGTAAAATAGATTGCTGAACTTAATCGGTAAAACGCGATTTTTGCTTATTTCTCGTTAGAAAACATGTTTTTACTGAATATCGGTACATACAATTAATGAATTTTGTTTATATGAAAGTATTTACTGAAATTCGGTAATGGTTTACCATGAATTTCGTTAAAATCTTGCTTCACCGATTTCGGTAATTAAAAGTGACGAACCTCGGCAATTGAAAATAAGAAGAAGTATCTGTCAGTTGTGCACATTTATTGTAAGCTGTTTTGGCAGAGAGTAAGTCGTCCGTTGCGTTGCTTTAAGTGTTGCGTGTGATTCAATTTAAGCCAACAACTGCGTCAACTATTCTGTAAGTAATAAATCTTTATTTGTTTTCAGATTTACAAATTTATACAGATAGGAGATGGCTTCGAGCAACCGTACCAATGAGTAAATAAGGCACATTTACCAACCTATAGCATAACGCTACTTGCGTACCGGTGGTTGCTATTCAGGTGGGGGAAATAGCAATCCGCACCTTGGGAAGTAGTGAGTTCATAAATTTAGCAACCCGGTAGCAACGCATCAGACGGTTGTTATTTCGAATGAACGTCAAAAGTTTGTTTTGCCGGTGTGGAAAACGGTAACTTAAATTATGACTCTGATAGCAACGCGGAGAGGAGTGATTAAGCCAAAATGGAAACGCTGTGCGTAAGTAAAATAGTGCCGCAAATGGCAACGACTGGTACGGTTGCTCTTATTGTTTATCAGTCAACAGGTAAAATGTTTACCCCAATGACACTTGTTCTACAACTAAATACAAAACTAACGAATAACATAAATTAACATAAAACTCGTTTAAAACTACGCTTATTTGTTTCTCGTGGCACGTTGAAATCGTACACATAATAACCCCGGTTGAATATTTATTTTATTTATTTATTTCGTCAACCAACGTAGACTAGTACATATGAGAATACAGTTTTGTTTTCTTAAATTTATTTATTTATTTCGTCAACTTTGGACAAAAGGTTAAAAGTATAATTTTTTCTTTAATAAAAATTAAGCAGTGTCAGCTTTCCTATTTTTTATGAGTTATAATGCCTTATGGAGTAAAAATATTGTTTTAGTTTATGCCGAGACATTGTAAAGTCAATGGTTTCGCAGTATTGATTGTAAGAGGCCATCATGCGGTTTAATGGCCCATATTTTGCATAATTTGTACGATGATGTTTTATGGCAAATACATTTCGATTTCGGAGTTGCCGAGTAGGTGCATGGAAATTTAATTTTGATAAAAGTTCTGTGGAGTCAATGCGTTGCGAAACGATATCGTTTACAAATGAAACCATTGCATATTCACGACGCTCTTTTAATGTTTGTATGTTTATAAGCATGCAGCGTGCTTCATATGATGGAAGAGGAAATGATGTCCAACCTAATTTACGAAGAGCGTATAATAGAAATTGTTTTTGTACGGATTCTAATCTTTCTTCGTGCGTGATTGAAAAAGGAGACCATACAATGCTGCAATATTCCAGTATTGACCTCACATAGGCGATATATAGTGTTTTAATTGTGTATGGGTCCTGAAAGTTATAGCAAAAGCGCTTGATAAAGCCTAGCATGTTATTTGCCCTGTGAATAATTGTGTTGTAATGGTCTATGAAAGTTAGTTTAGAGTCTAAGATAATTCCTAAATCCCTAACTCTTTCACATTTTTCTACATTTTGATTTCCTAGTGCAATTGAAATATTTGAAGTTGTTCTTTTCCTGCTAAATGATATTAAGTTACATTTTTTTACATTCAATTCTAGTAGACTTTTTTTGCACCATATGTAGAATATGTGTATTTCATTCCGGAATATATTGATGTCTTCTTCATTTCTTATTTCCAAAAAGAGCTTCATGTCGTCGGCATAAATAAGACATTTAAGTTTTTTGAGAATGAAAGAAATGTCGTTTACGTATAGAATAAAAAGAAGAGGTCCCAAATGAGAGCCTTGGGGGACCCCTGAAGTGACTTGAATTGGACTCGATTTCTTTCCGTTGAATTTAATTATTTGTTGGCGGTTAGTTAAATATGATTCAAGCCATTTTAGGAGCCCTGACTCAATTCCAATTTTTTGCAATTTAAAAAGTAGCATTGGTATGTCTATGCGGTCAAATGCCTTGCTAAAGTCTGTATAGAGAGCTTCTACGTGGTTTCCATTATCCATTGCATTCAATGAATAGTCTATAAATTCAAGTAAATTTGTCGAGGTCGAGCGACCCTTGAAAAAGCCGTGTTGCATGTCAGTAATTCTATTTTTGATTTGGAGAAATAATTTTTCGTTGACAATTGCCTCGAAAAGTTTAGGAATGCAAGAGATAATGGCTATACCACGATAATTACGTACGTCAGATTTTCGGCCAGATTTAAAGATATGCTACCTTATGCTACCTTTTCTGCAAACAACTAGTCCCGGGGCACACTGATGGGTGAGTGGAAGAGTGAGAAAGAATGTGTCATTGTGCGAATAACTTGAATAAAGACTTGTTTACAGAATTTTCTCTAATTATGTATTATTATTATAGCTATTCTGAATAATTCAATTAATTTGAGTTGAAATTTCGACGATAGTCGCCAAAAGCTAAATATGTCCATGAACGGTTTGCCGAAGGATTGGTAAAAGATTTATTCTTGTTTTGAGGTATTTCGGTAAAATAAAAGCTGAACGCTCGGCATACAAGTACCGATGTTTTCGGTAAAATTTGACAGTTGAATAAAACTGATAATTACCAAGCGTTCGGTATTCTATACTTTTACCGAAATTTTTAACGAAATTTCGGCTGTGGCCATATAAAAGATAACTGTCTTCAGCAAACCCTAATAAACAAATACCATAAACGAACAATATCCCGGATGGGTAAACTATCCCACAAATGGTTTGGATGATACCCCGAACACGTCGTTAAGCTCTCTTTTATGGTTATTTTTATTAGGGAAGTTGTTCAGATGACCACGGTCTTCCTGATGGTGTTCATATTAGTTCAGAACTCTCTCACTACGTGGCGCTAGTGTGCATGCAAACTTCCTGAATATACTATATGCTCGAAAACCTGCCGATATAGGATGTTGCTGTGGAATGTGAGTATTTCCGGAACAGGGGGCCGTGTAGAGAGGCCGGATAGAAATACACCATTTTGAATCTAAGATGGAGGCCATCGATTTTCTTCAAAACCGTTAAATAGCCGTAATTCCGAGATCAGCTATGGCAGATTATACACGAGTACGGATTTTGGTCAAGACGACGATGGGTCGAGTGATGTGCGTTATTAGAGTATCGGGGACACTCTCGAGTCCCTTTGAATCTCGAAGGGGATTACGGTAAGGTGATGGACTTTCGTGTCTGCTATTCAACATCGCATTAGAAGGTGTGATCAGAAGAGCTGGGATAGACACGAGTGGCACGATCTTCAGGAAGTACATCCAGATTCTTGGCTGCGCCGATGACATCGACATCATGGCACGGAACTTTGAGACAATGGCGGAAACGTACATTAGACTGAAAGCTGAAGCTAGGCGGATTGGACTTGCCATCGGTGCATCGAAGACGAAATACATGATAGGACCAGCTTCTAGGGTAGACAATGTTAGCCTCTCACTCCGAGTTCAGATTGACGATGATTACCCCAAAATAAAATTTCCATAATAAATACGCTTTGATCTCGGTATTTTGACCAACAGAAAAAAATCACAAGGTTCTACAATTTTTTTTTTGATGTGGCGGTCATTCCGGATCAGGCTTCCAAATAGTACAGCCTTCTCGCGACAGTTGATTTATACCTGTTTATACCTGAATTGACTGTTGCTTTGTGTTCTTTACAACCGCTTGCTACCGTACGTTCCGATCTGAATTCGAAGTGTATTGACAACAGTGCACGCATGAACGAATGAAAGCTATATTAGAACAGCCGCATCTATACCGCTTTGCTAAAATCATCGTGCTTGGAAAGTAGTGAACCGAATGGGCTGTATTTATACATTTCTTTAAGACCAGGTTTTCAATGTTTCTGTCGTCATGACAGCCTTCACAAACCGACGACATCCCTCAGCTTACCCAAGTGGCTGTCACGAAAAGGCTGTTACGAGACATTATATACAATTGATATACGGCAGTGTAGTATGGAATAAACCAGAAAAATGATCTTGAACAAACATGTCGGCCCGATGTCAGATCAATGTAAGGTCAATTTACAATCGACGTTGGCCAAATGTCGGGACAACATCGGGTTGGGGTTTGGTAGAAGTCTGGTTGGTATCGGGTAGGCTTATATTTTTCGCTGGA